TACAATCTATAATAATAAAAGGATAATATGCTAATTAGACTGGACATCTTCCGGATGTCATTCCAGACTTCCTTCCTAATGAAGCCGGAGCCGGAGGGAAGCCAGCCACAGTCCCGGGTGTTGGAGGGAAGCCGGTGCCAGCAGCTGGGGGAAGGAAGGCCGACTCTTGCACGAATTTTCGTGCATCAGGCCTCTAGTTAATAAATAACAAATAAGAACAAACTCTGTGTTTCACGCACTGACAACTATACACCTACTTTGCCCCACCTTGTTTGCTGTCTACTCATACAGCCAAATACACGTCATTTTGGAATCAGTCACTATTTAGACCAGGGGTGGGCAAACTTTTTGACTCGAGGGCCACAATGAGTTCTTAAACTGGACCAAAGGGCCGGAACAAAAGCATGGATGGAGTGTTTGTGTGAACTAATATAAATTCAAAGTAAACATCATTACATAAAAGGGTACGGTCTTTTTTTTCAATAGTTTCATTCATTTCAAATGGGCCGGATCTGGCCCGTGGGCCGTAGTTTGCCCACGGCTGATTTAGACTCATAAGGTAAATTTAAAAAATATATAGATGGGTAGATATGAACACACACATATGTATTTTAATCTTGGGCCATGGTCAATTTTTATTATTGTCAGGGAACAGGCGCTAAGTTTCAGTGATTGCTGATACAGCTGATTATATACTGATTACTGATATAACAACCAATATAAGGAATGCTGGGGGTTTACTTTTCCAACAAGATAAGGGAAATCCTCAGAGACACCTGGACTTCGACTCAAGCTTGAATTCCTTCTCCTGGTGAGACCGTGAGGGAAGGAACATGGGGTTCCCAGCTCCATGGGAGTTGCTGACAGACTGACAGTTGCGACAGAAGAGCCGTCGGTGAGCTGATGACTAAGTCTCTTTCACAAATGGTCCATTCCAGACAGAGTTGCCATTTTGATACAATAAATTATTTTGTTTCATAGTTTCCTGCGTGTTAATACATACATGACCCCAAACAAATTCTCAAGGTCACCCAATTATAATCCTTGCTAACATGAATTTTTAAATTACTTGTGTGTTTTCACATCTAGCATATAAGCTGTACAAGAGGAGACTGAAGAATAAACACAGAAAAAAGACCCCGGGCTGTGCAGAAGGCTGCCGTAACAAGAGCTCCACCTCTCCCCAGGAGACCGGTGCTTTCTTGGAGGTGAATGAAGAACTCGCTATAACTCCCGGGACATCAGAGCCGATGGATCCCCCCGTGGCTCTCGAGTCCATGGGCCCCATCTCCTCACGTGCGCAGTAGCGGCTTGCTGACCCGCCTGGAGGCCGGCTACCTCCGCCCGTTAGTAAAGCTGGTGCAGGGCTGATGCGTGGATCTCATTGGCAAGGCCTGTGGGAATAGCTGTTTTTGTGTGGGTTGTAAATCCTCCAGGATCCCTTTTTGCGAATGTATTCTGCCTATTTCAGGGAGTTCTTTGGGGTTTACACCACGTATTTACTAGTGGCTGTGTTCGTGTCTTCCCAGTGCGATGTGCAGTCCTCCTCCCTGTGGCTTTTAATCCCAGGAGAGGAGGGGCTGTGGAGAGATGCGCTCTCCTATTTAGGGCAAGGACAGTCTGAACCCTCTTGGCTTTGGGACGGTTCTTTGGAGCAGTGGGGAGGAAGCACACAGGTCTTAGAAATATGGGGTCTTTTCTCAAATGATTGCTAATTCTTAAGGGCTTAGAGTCTTTTTGGATTCTAACTGTAATACAGATTTAGAGGAAAGTTAATGAACACTTGAGGTTAAAAGGTGAATGCCCCCTGTTTTCACTCCCCAGTGATAGGCACATGGATATCCTTCATGTTTACACATTATATCACTTTAAAAGGACTGGGGTTTTCCCATGTATACTGTCTAATGAGTCACAATGACATATCATGGAGCACCTTCACACGCCGGTCTGTGTTGACCGGCCTCACTTTAGAACAATGGCTTTGTAGAAGCATTTCACTGCACGGAAGGACTGACTGATTTCAAGTTCCCCATTCATGGGCATTTAGAGAGCTTTCGATTCACTGGCATTACGATGCTGCTACACACGCCTGTGCCCTCTGGGGGCATGTCTGTAGGGTCACCTTCTACAACTTCAATTGCCAGACCAATTGCACAGGAAAACGTTGGACTCTGCCCTCCGGCCATGCTGTGTGCGCAGCGGTGCCGAGCGGGCCGGGGGTCCCATCGCCCCAGCTAAAGGATGATCAGTTTGGATTTGTACGAGCATCTCATTTAAAGTCGCATGTAATCAATTATGAGTAAAGTATTTTTTTCATGACCACTTGCCTACTCATGTCCTTTGCCTGCTTTTCTATTTCATTTTTCCCTTTTGATTGGTGAGTTTTAACACATTATGGAGAGTGACCCTTCGTCCTGTTTTGTCAACATTTTACCCGCTCATTTGTCTTTTGCTCTCTGTAATGCCTTTTGCTGTACAGTTTTATAGTTTTTACATATTAAGCAGTATTAGTTTTTTAAAATAATGTTTTTGACATTGATCTCTGTCCAGTGTTGGAAATTTATATTTTTATGTGA